GAGTATAGACCCAATGTGTTCACTCATGAATAGTTTTGTCTATTACTTAGTTTTGTCTATTATTTTCTTAATAGTTTTGTCTGTTAGTTTTGTTAGACAGATTTCCTGTTCTAACAAATGATAATGCTGTGAATGTACTTAAAATATATCTTCATGAATTAGTGTGATTTCCCCACCCCCCTCAATGAGTAGTTACTGAGAAGCTGTGTCACTGGGGCTCTGGGGTGTACACTTTTATCTGGACAGCTATGGCCAAGCTACCCTCCACGGGGCTCCTCTGACTGTACGGTGTAAGAGTGTTCCTTGTGCCACATGCTAATCAGCACCTGGAATGATCAAGGTGTCCTCTGAGTGAAACTGACAGATCATTGCTTTGATTTGTTTCTTCAGTCGTGAATGAGGTTAGGCCTGCTTTTCTTGTCATTTGCATGTCTGCTAGGAATCACTTGTTTTAGTGTGTTGGGCTATATTTTTCTTAGAGATTCATATGAGTTAAAATTATATCCTAATTCTTCATCGGTTTTATGTCACAGCATTGTTTCATTTACCTCTTAAGGTTGTTTATGATGTGATCTTTTAAGTTTATGATGTGTGAAGTGAGAGAGGAAAATGTATCAATTTTTTTCCTCTAGGCTCATGTCTGTTAGGATTTGTATAAGAAAAGTCTCACTGACTTCTGTTTGTCATAAGCATATTCACTCAGACTATCACTTTGATGTTTTAAGGTCCGAAATGGAGGTGTCAGTGGGAAATCTGAGAGGAATTGTCTAAATGGCAGGTGGTTATTTCAGAATGGAGTAGAATTCAAATCTTAAGATAAACATTGGGGGCGTCTCAGAGTCGAGGGGATGGTAGAAACCAGGTAAGAGTGTCCATGTAACGGTGGAGAGAAGGAGATCAGGAACACAGACCTTTGGAACAGCACTAGTGACAGAACTGGTTGAGCAAAAGCATCTATACCGGTGAGCCGTGAGGCGTGGCAGAGCGCGAGCATGACAACCACCATGGGCATGGTGGACAAGAGAAACCAGGGGAGGCAAGCTTTCCCGCTACTGCAGGCGCGGCGGTGTGGAGGGTGGTGGCCATCACCTTGTATCGTACAGTTTCCTCGTGTCTTTTTCAAGGAGAGAAGGTTAGAGTGGGCCCCAGGCATGTCCAGAGCTTCCTCGTCACCTGGACCCGGCCACAGTGGCCATAGTGGCATTCGCCCGTCCGGCTGTATTCATCTGCCAAGCTGGTAACTGATCCCTAAAGGCTGGCGGAGTCACCAACTTTGAAACCTCCTTCTTTCCTTTAATCAGTTTGGTCCTGGCCTTTAGCGGGTCAAGGTGGCGTCCCTGAAAGTGCACTTTGAGGAGTGCAGGGCTTGACCCGTACAGCTGGCTGAGGCCAGAGGAATCGGGAATGTGCCCACCAGAGCCAACCCTGGAACGACCTGGAGGCCTCCTATCAGCCATTGTTCTCCTGACATGAATTATTTTGTGGATTTGTGAATCACCTTTCCTTGAACTGTCAATCTGTAAACTGTAAAATCCCATCCGTGGGGTAAAGGAAGGGAATTATTCATAAGATAGTTTCTACATCCGCTCACGGTGCGATCTCTCACACGGGGTGTAATTAAGTCATAGACAGAGTGGCCTGGATTTGGAGAAAGGTGGGAAGGAACGAATTCCTCTTCCAGTGTGGGTGCCTTTTGGTGTTGGACATCTGGTGTATTAATGCATGAGCCGCGGAGCACTTGGCGTCTCTGTGAGGGAGAGAGAGAATTTTTTTTTTTTCCCCAGAAGAAACTGAAAATAACTGGAGAGGGAAGGAGTAAGTAGAATTGGAAAAGTTTAAGGCTATAAACAATGACATGGCAGCAGTGCAATCTGCTGGGCAAAGACTAAGCAGCTCAGTTGGCACCCAGAGAGGTGAGCGCACCATGGGCTGGGGGCAGGCGGTGGTGCTCCAGACGCGCCGGCACCAGGTGTGCTGGGAGCTGAGTCAGGCTAAGAAAACACAGAGGACACGTGTGTGTTGCAGACAAATTAAAATTTATTGAGACAGACAGAAATGCACCTACTCAGGACTACAATTAAGCATTTACTATTAACCAAAGAGTCGTGTTCACATTCCAGATAAGTCTACATGGAAAAGCATTCAGAATTTACTAAGTTTCTCTACTTTACTATTTGATCTACAGTAGGGACAGTAAACTGACACTGAGGATCTGGTGGGCTCTCATCACAATGCTACACATTGAACAGGGACAAACATCAGTGACTTTGAGAAAAAGGTATAAAAAGACCAAAACCACCCACTGTAGAAGGGGCTCTTGGATGTTACTGTACAGTGTGGTCAAGGTGAAAACAAGCATGAATGGCATCCCAGGAGGAGCAGGGGCAGACCTGGACAGACACATCCTCATTCACCGCCGGGGGGAGAAAATGGGCATAAAGAAGGGGAAACTGAATTTTTTTTTTTTTTAAAAAAACATCTTGAAAGTCAATATTAAGGCATTCCCATGCCTAGAATATGAGTGGAAAGAAAACAATGTGGCAGACAGCTGCCCATTGGGTTAAGCCCGATGCCAAGGAGCAGTATTGAAAAAGGACCCATTTCTGGAGGAAGAAGAGAACTGTTCACTAGGAGTTTGCAAAAAGGACTTAGTGAAGACTCAGCTCAATTCCCGTCTCAATAAGGGACTGGATGATTGCATTTTGTCACCAGCTAAGGGACTCCTGCCAAAAACAGAGGAAAACATAAATTGTACTTTTAAGGACAGGGCAACTTAAAAAAAGTCCTTTAGTACTTGTAGAAAGCACTAACTGAATACCTTAAAAATAAAAAAAGATGGAATGCCGTTACAGCAAAGTGAGGCATGAAAAGTGGTGTTAATGTTTCGCCATTGATTTTGGATTCCAGTCTTAGGAGGGCTTTTTATTTAATATTTTATGAATCAAAATATCTTCATGGAGTATTACGGAACTTGAACATCTCATTACCTTCCTGGGAATTGACGACTGAGCACTCTTCTCCATCATTAAGTTAATGCGAAGGATCTTTAAGTGTCAACTTAATTTGACACTTGTCATAAGATAATTAGGCAAATTAAAATCAGTGGGTTCACTCGATTCCTAGAAGTTTCTCTAAGTGAAATCAATTTGTCGATTTTAATTTGTTCTCCTGTGCGTTTTTCCAAGCTCAGAGGACATAGTAACAATGGTTTTCTTTGATGGTCTAATGTGAGATTTTTTTAATGTCTTGATTCTTTTCTACAGTCTGTTGTAATTTAGTGGCAATTAAGCACCTGTTTTCTGAATTAGGATTTCAGAGTTTTGTTCAAGCGAGGAAAAAAGAATTGAAACAGAGGTGACGGGAGTTTTAAGATGCCAGTACGGAGCTTGCCCGTGCCTCCCTCTACCTGGGGCCCTGGTTTTACGCCTGACTACCGCGCCAAGGTAGCGCTACAGCGCGGCGCGCACGCCCATCTGAGACTCGCCCTGGGCAGCACGCCCCGGTGTCCGGTCAGTGCAGGAGCTGGTAGCTGCTGGCCGCGGGAGGCGGGTCGGCAAAGTACCAAGAAATGGGCACTTCGGGGTGGGTGGGGCTGGCCTCCGCCACTGTGAGGAAGGGTCGCTGGATTTACTGTTTGCCTGAGTTGACAGGGTCTTCTCTCGGACTGGCCGAACTCATGGGGACCGGCAGAAATGCTGAGCCAGAGAGCCTTGCTGGGTGGCAGAGCAGGACATGCGGGCGGGTGGAAAGCGGCGGGCAGTGTGAAGACTACTCTTTGGTACTTGTCTCTGGGCCAGCCTGACAGGGGGAGAACGCTGACGCCAGCATGACCCTACCACACTTGACGAGACGCTGCTTGTCTGAGTTAGCTCGGGGAAGAGAAAGGCCATGGTGAGGGCTTTCTGCGGTTAGCATCTTGACCCCCGTGCGGGGGCGGGGGCGGGTGGGCACTAGCTCTTAAAATGCCAGCCTCCCTTCCCTGCGCTGCTCTGAAGCTCCTTCTAGGCCTCCGTCGCAGTCTTCACTCAAGGAGTGGTAAAAAAAATAATTGGAATAGCTTTTGTACCCCGGTCATGATGTGTAGAATAGAAAGGTGGCAAAAAGCGGAGTCTAGAATCCTGAATTTTCTTCCCCTAAGGAATGCCAGGGCGCTGTGCCCTGCGAGAGAAGGGGAAATTTGTGCAGGCCTTAGGAGCAGCCCTTGGGTAGGCCGGGCAGGGAGGACGCCCTGGCGGACGGGACTGCCGGGTTGAGGGCTGGGATGAGAGCCACTGTGGGGCCGCCGCCTGCCTGGGAGTCGCGTGGCTGCTGCAAGAGAGCAGGGGCCAGAGGTCAGGGGCCGATCCCAATCACCCGGGCTTCCAGAACTGCTGCTGCTGCAGAAAAGCGGCCTCCCGGCCGGGGGCTACACATGCCAACCATTAGTGCAAACGAGGACTTCGACAGAAATTGTGTGTTCGAGGATTGGTGACCCAGGCCTGGACAAGCTGCAGATCTGTAATTGTTTCTAAAACGGGTTTTTCCTTGTGGGAGGAGCGCGGGGCGCGCACACCCTCGCGCTGGCGGCCACACGGCCAGACACCGGGTTTTAACAAGCGGGTCCCCAGCGGGCCCGTGACTGAATTAAGGCTGCTGTTCGTGAGGAGGCCAGAGAGCAATGTGAGGACGTGACTTTCGGGGTGACGCACACGGGGTGGGCAGGGGCGCGGCGTCCACAACAGCTACAGGACACAGAAGCACTGAGACACCGCGGGCGGGACATGCTGCGCCGCCGCCGCGGGGGTGGAGGGGCGGGGGGCGGGGGCTCCCCGCACGGCCAGGGCCCCGCACACATCGCATGCTCGCGGCGCGTCCCGCGGGCGGGAAGGTCCCCGTCTGGACAGAGCCGCGCTCCCCGCGCCAGCGTGTGCGGCGCCGCCCCGGGCCCGGGAGCCCAGCAGGCGCGCGGCGTGGGGGGAGGCCGTGCCGGGAGCGGGACAGGGGCGGCCGCGCCCGTGGCGCTACCAGATGTACCCGGCCTCGTCCTCCTTGTCGTCGTCGCCGTCCTCGTCGTCCTCCCGCACGGCCCGGGCGCGCACCCGCGGCTTCCCCCGCGTGCCCGGCTCCCGCGCGTCCTCCAGGTCGTCCAGCAGGACCACGGCGCCGCCGCTGCCGAAGTCCCCTGAGGTCTCCTGCTCCTCCTCTGCAACGGGAGAGCCGGGTTAGCTCCAGGGGTGCCTCCCGCGGCGCCCGTGGGGAGCCCTGCTGCCGCAGGGGAAAGCAGGTGCACGGGGCCCGCAGCCGCTCCTGCCCGGCTAGCACCCTGGCCCAGTCCCGGGCCCGCCTGCCCGGGGGCTCCGGCTGCGCATCAGCGCTGGCGGCCTCTCGCGGGTGCGCGTCTCCCCGTGGCTCCCGCATGGCGCCGCGGACCCGGGGCCTAACCCGGGGAGCCAGGGCGGGGGCCCGGGGTGGACGCAGCAGCCTTACCGCAGCTCACGGCGCCCTGCTTGCGGGAGCCGGCCAGCTCGTTGCCGTACTTGTCCACGCACCAGCACTGGCCCGTGCCGCCGTGGCACTGCGTGGCTCTGTAGTAGCCCTCCTCGTTGCAGCGCGGGATGAAGGCGCCTGCGGGGCGGAGGGCACCGAGTCAGGGGCGCGGCCAGAGGCCAGGCTCCAGGGGTCCCGGCCTCAGGGCTCCCGGCCTCAGGGGCGCTCGCCCTCTGGCCGCCTGGACTGGGGCACGGTTGAGCGCGGGGACCGCGGCTGCGCCCAGCTTTTCCTCCCGCCTCTCTGCCTGCAGTAGGCCGAGGGCACCTGCACTGCTGGGAGCTGCGTGGCAGTGAGTTGCATGGAGGGGGCGAGTGAAGTCAGCCATCGCACACAGACCGGAAAATAAAGGGGAAGCGCTGCCTGTGCTGACCACTCTTAGGATCCACATCTTCCCCGCGGGGGGACATTCCGCTGTGCGAGCGGCGGACCTGGGAGGTGGTGTTTTTGTTATTTTGTGTTGGCCACCCCATTTCATTCCGTCTGAGTGCCCTTTTTTCTTTTTGAAGCTGGGAGAGACTACCAGTTTATTTGGACTGATCCTTTTGCATCTACATCTGCCTTTCAGAGGGTGCTCGGACCCCCGTGGGGACGCCCTCTAGACAGCAGCGTGTGACTGCCAGACCCCTCGGAGCCGGGACTATGAGTTAGCACACCGAGGGCAAAAAGAGCAGAATACCTGAGTAGAAAAAAACATGAAATTAATTCATTATTATAATTTATCAAGTCAAAATGCTTCTCTCATTTCCCCAATCAGGGCTCCAAGCTTATTCTCATGGGTGCATCTGTCATTCTCCTTTTTCCTTGTTCCTTCTCCATTCTCCTTTTTATACACAATGGCTCTAGCACAGGAAAAGGAAAATACCTGAATCATGTCATGAATTAGTTGCTGTACAATTATATGCTGGTATCAGTTAGTGTCTAGCTTCACCTGCAAACACCTAAGAAAAATAAATTTTCAGATGTTCTGACTGGAAAACTTGAACAGAGTGGCCCAGCAGATTGTGGTGTTATTAAAGTGCAGGGGGTGTTGCTGCACCCTGAAGTTTGAGAACTACATGCATCGGAGGCTTACCCCACTTTTCATGTTCAGTCTTTTCTGTTGCCAAAGGTTTGTCGGTTTCCTGCTATATTGTTAGTGCAGCAGAGCGTGTTGTTTTTAAAGGTTTTTCCCTCCCACCCGTCTATTTTGACTCGGTGGCACATATTTTGGAGTTTGTACTCCTTGTCATCTGTGGCTAGTTATGAAGCCCTTGGATGTATCGGTGTAGTCTCGCGCGCTCAGTTTTATTCTGTGGCATAATCTGAAAATTTTGTGAATGTTAATCATATTAAATATTTCTGCCCACTTGAATTGTAGGGTTTGAGAAGTGGTCTTGAAGTGTCTGATTATGATTATAGTAAATGACCATGCCTCCTCACAATGTTTTGCTCGAAAGTTAAGGGGGTATGAAATTCATGACTTTGGGCTTCAAGCAAAATACTTGCTTCTGTTAGTTGTTACTATCTTTGAATTCTTATGTGCAACTTTGTCTTTAAAAATAACAATTGACAGCCTTTCTCATAATAAATGAGTTTGATCCATTCACATTTATTGTGACAACAGATAGTGGTTTTCCATCACTTTCCTTTCCATTGCCCACCACCTGTTGAAATGATTTTGTTTTAAATCTATAAGTTTAAAAAGTATGTCTATTTCCAATATACTTGTTACATGTAAATTTTCCACAGAGCGAGCTTTCCCTAAGAGAGCTCATTGGTTTTCTTTCTGTGTGAACTGGTTATTTAACCATCTTTTTTTTTCACTGACCCCAACAATTTAAAAATGTGACATCAGGGCCTCCCCTGGTGGCGCAGTGGTTGAGCGCTGGGCTACGGGGCTGCCCGCAGCCTCTACAGCACCAGTTCATTCCCCGGCCGCCAGCGAAGGTCCCACCAAAAAAAAAAAAAAAATATATATATATATTTAGTAGCATGCACTGTGTGGTTCCCAAAATGGCATCTCAAGAAAATTCCTTTTGGTATCATGTGCCGTCTTGTCTAGCAGTATTTCTGCAGGTTGTTCATTTTTCTGTAGCTTCTGTTGTTAGTGAACCTACCCAATCTATGTTTTGAGAATATTTGAAATTGCAGGTTCAAAGTTGTTCCCTGCAAAGCGTACTATTTTGCCTAGCCCAGAAGGGCGACGGCAGTGTGTTTCCATCCCGCGGCAGGTCATGTTGACGTCGCAAACTTTTGATTGGAGTGTGTGCATGTGCATCCTCCTCTGGGGTGTGTGAGCTGGGTAGCAATAGTGTCCACATGAATCCCTTGAAAACAAGGGGTTTTCTATCTTGTTTATCCTCTACCACTGGGGTCTTCTATACCGTAATTTTATTTCTCATATTTTAGTATATTTTTAAATGTACTTTTTACTCCATGGGCTGTATTCCAAGTAGAAGGGTAGCAGTGATGCAACTGTTTGAGGTAGTGCCCACACTGCTGAGTGGCTCAAAGGAGCGCACCCCTTGCCTGCAAGGTGCAGGAGGAAGGAAAAGTGAGTGATTTCAGTAACCCCAGAGCAGCAACACTTAGGAAGATCCTCACACAAACCCTATAAAGAAAGAAAAGTCGAGAGCTGGGGAAAAATACTGTTCTTCCTTGAGCTGCCAGCGGACAATGGTATATAACAGGATCCCCAAAAGGCATATTGGGCTGACTGAACCCCCAGATGGTAAGCAGCAGGTGCTTCTCTAAGTCTATAATGTCAAAAGATAACCACTTGTTCTAAGTAGGCAGTAATTAGGACTGATTATAATTTGTTGAATCTCAGTGCTCCAGAATACACATTTATTATATTACGAGATTTCATATGAGAAAAATAATTTGTAAGCAAATACACGGTATTTTTATGGTTCTGCCAGAGTCATCTCTATGTGGAGAGAAAAGATGGAAATAAGCTGTAAAACTAGCCAGGATTCATGGTGGGAGTCAGGTAGACATAAGCTGGGCCAAGTGGAAAAGGAGACACCACACCTGAGCAAAGCTTCATTAATGAAGAAGATAACCCTGCTCAATGATAGTCATTTTTTTCCAGCTAGCATTAGCCATGTCCTCAACCCCCCTGGGCGCTGAGGCGCTTCACCCCCTGTGCAGAAACTGGGTCTGGCAGCAGGAGAGTCTGCGCCAGAAGAAGCCCTTCCGACAGCTCAGAACCCTAACTGTGCCGAACTGAGATAAACAGGGTGTTAACGGTGGAAAGTCTGAGGGGAGCCCATGAAATCAGATTTCCAAAGGAAGAGGGAATAATATGCACTTTAAAGGGATCCAAAAATGACCATAAATCAAAAGCACCTACATTGACAGTCTGCAAAAAAAGAGTCCCATTCTTGCACGTAAATAGAGAAACTTCTGCAATGCCAGACTGCTTAGGGGATGCACCTGCTTGAGTGTGCATCCAGAATAATTCTGAATTACGTTGCAGCTGTCAGTTTTCTTTTTAGAAGGCAAGGAAAGCGAGGCAGACCCCCTTGGCAAAGCAGCGCGGTGTGGTCATAGCCTGGCTGAGCGCAGGAAGGCGGGCAGGGCGGGTCACCTTGACCCAGGCAAACTTACACATCGGGGAAGTGGCCCTCGTCCTTAGCCGTGAAGTGCGGACAGAGCTTAAAGAAGTGTTCCGTGTCTAACCGCCTACTTTCTGCTAAGTCTAGCAGGAGATCTAGTTCATTTTCTCTGTTGAATGGAAAGTGCGATCTGGGGCGTATGGCAAGTCTGCAGGTGAGAGTTCGTGCACCTGAGAGCTCTTTCTAATGCTTTTCCTTGAAAAGGCCCAGGGTCATGGGGGCCCAGGGTCGGGACAGAGTTGCCATGAGTGGGTCCCGGGTCCAGCCTGGGGGACTTAGCCCCACTCCCCGACTTGCCTTTGGTCTCACCTTTAGCTGATGGAGCTTGACGGTGGCCTACTGGCCCCTCTGAGGAAGAGCTTTGTTGGGGGGTGCCAAGGCGTTTCTGTGATGAAACACTGGTCCCTAACTGAGTAACGGGCACCGTGCCGGGTGCTGCAGGAGACGTGAGCCATTTCATTAACCGTGTCAACGAGCAGCAACTGTACTTACCCAACAGACTTTTCCCCTTGCTCAGCTTCTGAATCCGGTTCATCTCGTTCTGGCAAGGGAGACCTAAAAAATAATTCATGAACGTCAGTTTCCAGATGGCACAGGTATAATGTCTCATGACTGGCCTCACTCTGGACGTGAAGGGTAGACAATGCCACACGTGGGAGCAGAAGCGCGCCGCGTGCTGTTCCTGCACGACAAGACACAGTCAGGCTATGAGCGTCTCCACTGTAAGCAAACACCAGGAGGTGCTGCTCCGGGCGCAGTCCCGTGTGTGCTGTTGGGGAGCCGTGCCACAGATGTGCTCCGTGCGGGGCCGCCCGGCCTTGGCTGGGCCAACACCGCACGAAGCACAAGTGGAGTGAGTAGCCACACAGGGTGGTGTGCCTGCAGCCAGGTGCTGGGGCCTCGCGTGAGGAGGGCACTTAGCCCAGCGAGCGGGTTAGGGGTGTTTTTCCTCTGCTGGGCCGCTGCATCCTGAACCTGAGCTGTAAGAGTATTGATGAAATAAACCAATTTTCAGATGTCTGTTTTAGGCTAGATAATACCTACAGCCTTCGGAGGAAGCAGCAAATGTTAATGAACTTCTCTTTGCTGGGGTAGTGACCCGCCCTTCCCTGCCTGAAAAAGGTTTGGGCTGTTCATTGAGTCTCAGTGCCGAGAGGCAGAACCGCCTTACCTTGCAATTTAGTCAGGATCTAGCTAAGCAGCACCCGAGCCTGCCCCTCAGCCGTTACTGCCTTCTCGGCTTGCACCCCATGATGTTGACTTTACCTTTGGTTGCATGTGTTGGGAGAATGAAATATGCCAATGGGATCTGCCAAAATAGGGAGGTTCCTAAAGCTGTTAGGGCACATGTTGAATGTCAATTGTTGTTTTCTGTTTAGAACTGAATAAACTGTTTCTCTTGATCATAAATATGAAGATTATATATTACACGTGAGCAACAAACCTACATTGACCATAGAGGTGGGACAGCTACTAGTTTGTGACTTGAAGGCAGAAAACTTTTTGGGGGATTGGGGGGGGGGTTATTTCTTCAAAACTAAAGTTACTTAATAGAAGTTTAGGTTTCAGTGATGTAGGGTAGACATTAAGCTGATTTCAAAAGGTGGTCTGCTAGTTGTGCTCACCAATTTATTTTTTGCAACAGGGACTTCATTTGATTCCAGTGAGTCCCAGTGAGACCATCTCTACCAGTTATCCTGATACTTCTGCACACATGGGGTGAGTTGGTGGTTCTCGAGGATTCTAAGTGAGACTATGGGGGAAGAGAAAGACCAGAAAGTTCAAGGCCACCATCGTCCTTAAGAGTAGAATGAGGCTTCTCTTGAATCAGACCTTGCAGCCGAACCCTCATCACTGCTGCTCATCCGGGGACTTACTCACCACTGTGGATGGGGTGGGAGGATACACAATATGAGAAACACGGGGGGGCTGAGTAACAAGGTGTTGGAAGGAGCCTTTTTCAGGGGTTGGTGTCTAATAATTTTTGAGGGTCTAGTGTGGGTTAGCTGTGTGTTTGGGGGGGGGGTCTCAAGTCATCACAGATTCAAAGACCCCTGTCCTATCTTTCATGCATTTAGGTCCAAGAAAAGAACACGGTGTTCCCATTGCTCTGCGGGCCAGACCACTGTCTGGGCTGGGTGTTGAACGTGACATGTTCCTTTTATAGAATTCAGGTTAATAAAAAATATTCAGACGAGTGAAATGCCACAAAAAGGTTCTTTGGTTCTTTTCATAATGTCTATCATTCTGTATAAATTTGAGGAAAGTATTTGTTTGCCACGGTAATTTTGGGGACAAATGGCCTTGGGAAGAGGAAGCTACAGGAAAGATGGGGTGGGACTGAGGAAGGGGCCGGAGGGCAGTGGGGACAAAGCAAGGACGAGAAGGGAAAGGGGGGAGTGGGGGCCAGTCATGTGCAGGGAAACAAGTACAAAGGGAGGGGCTGAGGAGGTGATGGCAAAGAAACGCATGGTAGAGGGAGAAGCTACAAGCATCAGAGTCTTCCCTTTGTGGGAGGGAGGCTAGAGGGAGAAGCAGAAGGGAAAAGGTGGGGAACGGGTGGAGGAATGAAGGGGAGGAGGCATTTACCCTTGTCCTCCAGACTCCACCCTTTCTTCCAGCCTCACTGCCACTGGCGCTGTCCCCGCTGACATCTCTTACACCCAAACATGCCCCCTCGCCCAGGCTTCCGCTACTCACTACTCCATGCACCCCAGGCCAGCTCTGTTCCACGTGCAGCATAAGCTGCCAGGTCACCCCCACATTCTGCTCAGGTGCAGCATGTACACGGGCCCCAGGTGGGGGTGCTGCAGCTGGCACAGACCCCCCAGCTATGGCACTGTACGCACCTGCAAAACTATGATTGGGAGGGAAAGCCCTTTCACTGCTGACAAGGGACACTTCCTGCTCTCTGTCCCACCGTCCTGAAGACGAAGGAGCCCACATAACCCGGGACCATCTCGAGCAGTCTGGGCAATGTGCTGAGTGCAGGCTCAGTCCTCCCCTTTGCAGCTATCACAGAAACAGGACCTTCCTGCACTGCTCCTTCTATCTGGACACTGCTGTCAACCGTAAATGCCCAAATGGAGGTAAGAATGAATTGAAAAAGATGAAATCAAGTGCCCTGTGCTAGGATCACAGCTCTGCTTTGCCACTTTACACCCTCTCACCCCCGTTCTGCAATCAGTTCGTTCTGGGTTCCATTACGGCCTGAGGGTAGAAGTGTCATGCACAAGGGGGAAGCACCTCACACTGGAGGGAGAAAGGTGTAAGCGACTGCGGGGGCCGGGTTGGCGCGCTAGGGCGCATACAACCCAAATACAGCACTTCAAAAGAGGAGGACACACCCAGTGTCTTACATGCAAGAGTCTCAGCCTGAGGCGTCCTAGGAGGGGTGAGACGCCATCTGCAAGGTCACAGCGTCTTCCCCCCTGCAGGGCCCAGAGTCCGGCAACACTGCAGCCCGCCCGGGAGGGAGGCGCGCGTGTGTTTACACTGCAATGGCCGCGGCCTGTGTCGGAGCAAGGGAAACGCTGCTGGCAGGCGCGGTCCAACAGGCCTGTGAGCGCTCACGCTGGCAGCCCACTCTGCTCTCAAGCCCCTGGGAAGGCCCAGTCCCAGGGTGACTTTGGGTGATATGAGCAACCCCTGTTCATTGCGGCGTGTCCTTCAAGCTTTACCCAGAGCCGCAGTGTAGTCAGCACCAGTGTCGCGGGCTCGCTCACTCAGGAAAGCCGTTCTCACCTGAGAGAAGTGACTGACTCTCTAAAGGGAACACTGGGCATTCACGGGACTCTTCTCCCATTAGGAGTCTCACGGGGCGAGGGTCTGTGCACCCATTTGATGGTGAACCAGCTGAGGCACAGTACGGGTGAGAGTCTGTCCCAAAAGGAGACGTGAAACAAGACTCCCCGGCTCCCCGCTAGGGGGCACGGCCACCCAGTGCCAACCCCGCCCGCCCGCCTCACCTCCGGGCTTCTGGAAGCAGTAGCACCACTCATTGTTAGAGAGCTTGCCGTCCTTGAAGGAGTCGCAGGAGTTGAAGAGCGCCTTGATGCACGGCTCGTACTTGTCCAGGTAGATGGCGTTGATCTCCGAGTGGTCCAGCAGGAGGTCGTAGTTCATGTCCAGCTTGTTGAACATCCAGCCCAGGGAGTCCTTGCAGATGGGCAGGATGCTGGTGTCGAATCCTGGGGAGAGAAACCCCATTTCAGCGACCCCCACCTGGGCGCGCCGGCCCTGCCTCCTCCCCGAACCCGTGGCCTTCCAAGGGGCGTCTCGGCACACGCCACTAGAACGTTCTGCTGTTGGGCTGCAAATGAAACAATTTAAAATGCACGAAACCAGAAGTCAGCATTCGAGGAAAACGTGTTCTCAAGGGAACAAATCCCCCATGCTCATCTGAGTATGGGATGGCGTCTCCTAGACCAGGGATGCCCAAAGGAAGACTAAGACACAGCGAGGAAGAGGAGGGACCCGTCGGACCGGGAAGTGCTGCTGAGCTTGGGGGGTGGGGGAATGCTCATTTGCAGGACAGACAGAAGAAACCACCGTGAGAGCGATGGCAGCGAAATGAAACTGCAGAGCATGATCCAGAATAGCTGCTTCTCAATCCCCCAGGACGGTTACACCCGAGCATTCATGGGAAAACAGGCCCGATATCTGCCTCCGTCCCCCCATGCTCTCTTGCAATCCCCTCAAGAGATCCATGATATGGAATCCAAACTGACTCCGACAATAATTTCTCTCTTATTTCCCAGGGGGAGGAAGGGTAGTTTTCTTAAAGAATTATTTGTTTCCCGAATAGGCACATGCGTGCCAGTACCAACACGTTGCTTAGCGGTACACACCCCCCCGCGAAGCTGTGCTCCACTTCCAAAGCCCGCCTTTCTTTCAGAAGGCACAGCGCACAATTTCAAGTTACTCCAAAAGCCAGGCTTCTGGGGCTGCTTTCATTTCCCCAGCACAGCGATGACAAAAGGCCCTTCCTGAGCTACAGGACACCGCTCAGGACTTGCAGCCTCTGCTCGCCTCTGCGCTTCCCAGAACAAGTGAGCCCGAGGCTCAGACACCCGCTCAAGGTCAGCGGTTGCCTACCCCAAGTCTGTACGCTCAACCCCGCCTCTCCCGGCGGCCCCCGCCCCGGGGCCTGAGGGGTCTCTCCCGATTCCTGGGGTTTCCACTGTGGAAAGCCCACGTCTGTGAAAGCATTTTCAGATGTCGCCAGAGAGCCGTTACAGACGCGTTGCAGTACCTGTCTACTGTGAATTGGGCCAAAGACCTTTGGAATGGGCCACAAACAACTGGGTGTTTTTGTTTGTTTGTTTGTTTTAGTGTTTTTGATACCAATTTATTTTTATTTTAAACATTTTTTACATCATTTTTCATAAGGGACCAGGAAGAAGCCTAATTATAATAAAGTAAAAAATCCAAATCAAGAAGCAACTATAAACCTGAGACACACTACGGGGGGCGGGCAGGGAGTAGGATCAAAACAAAGGGGGTGGGAACTGTATGGGGACTATACCCAAGATGCGAATGCGCACGCTGTGCAAACAGCCGTGAGAGGACTGTCCGTGATGGCTTTTCAGCTGGAGGGCAGCACCCAGCCAAGTCATCCTGGGAGCCTGTACACACCAACTCTTCACCTGCTTGCTGTCTTCCCCCCATGGAAACTCCAACATTGTCCCTCCCTGGGGTACATTTCTGTTCCCCCCATTGCAATTCTTTCATAACAAATGCGCTTTGCCTTTTAACTACTACATGACTTTCCTTTCTGTCTCAATAGCATCTTTCCTATTTTTTTTTTTTGTTATTTTCTTACATTACCATTCATTTTGGGACAATACCTCGTTTCTCCCCTCAGGTGTAGTCCTGTATTCCCCCCCACCCCCCGCCCCCGGCACAGCCCCTGGGATCCAGGAGCCAAGTGCTCCCTGAACTTTGAGGGAGACACTGCTCAGAGCCCGGCCATGGCCCTTCCATGGCATCACTGGGAGCCCCTGTTTACACAGCAGGGTACCAGGAGCCGAGGTTCTCAGGGGCTCATGACTGGCCTCCTCAGGACACCCTACTCTGTGCACACGTTATTCTGAGCTGAGGTCAGTGGCGGCCCTGGAGGGGCAGGAAAACCACATGCCCCTCCCGTTAACTTCCCAGAACACTAGAGATTGCGGCAGCTATCCAGGGGTAGAAATGTCCTCTCTAGGAAACCTGTTTGCAGAGTAAGCATGTACCACGTGAAGTCCCTCTCCTCACTCCTTGATGCCCAGACCCTTTCCCTGTGACTTAATTTAAGACAGAAACCCTGTTCTCCCCAACTGAAGGTGGAATCCTCCTGATGCATGTGGATTTCTGGTGACCATGTTACAAATTTAAACCTCTTCTTCCTACCAACACTTAAGAGGCTCTGCGGGTCAATTGCCCAGCCAGAGAACCACCCAGAAGAGTGGGGGTACGTGCCCCTAAGGATACCCTTTTAAAAGTGTCTTTACAAAAGGATCTTCTCTGTTCAGAAGCCAGTAGACTAGGGGCAGCAACCCCTCCTCTGAGCTCTCCAGGGACACCACATTGTACCTCCTGGTCAAAGTCCAGGAGAGCTAAGTAAGCCCCCTGAGGGCGGACACTATCTTGCTCCAGCTAGTAGCCTCAGCCGGTGTGGGCACATAGTAAGCGCTCACTGAAACTCTCTGGTGAGAGAAATTTTCTTCCAACAAAAATTACCACTTGACATACAAAAAGCTTTCCATATAAAAAAGTTGATTCCGGTGCAGCAGACCTCTCCTGTCTCGCCCACTGCTCCCCTCAGCAGTGTATTTCAGTCAGTCTGCCTGTTCTGTTGCCCGCTCTGTCTCTGGTGAATCCTCTCACCCTCCACACCTCTGGCCTGCACCCCAGTTCTTGCATGCACAACTAATCTTTAAAAAAAGTTGATTCCTTTCACTATCTTGGAACATATCACAGAAACCATCTCTTTATTCTAGAGGGATGATGGGGCACAGTGTGGCCTCTCCTTTGACAGCATCATGACTCTAGTCTCTATGAGGAGATCCTCAGGGGCTCATCAGGACAGGAGGATAATTTACCCTGGCACTTTCATATAGAATATTTTATGCGAAAAGTGCCAATTTCATAGGATATTAACATTTTAATATGGGAAAGAGGACTTTAATGCTGACTGACCACCAAGAAATGGCAAGCTGGTCAGGGAATAGTCAAAAGGTCAAGCCCACCTCACCTGCTTTCAGAAGGTTCTAGAAGAGGCACCTACATGTAACATCTGGAAGTAGAGGGCGAAGCAGAGCAGCCCTTAGTTGGCCCTGAGCATGTGAATCTCGAAGGCTTCCTGGCTTCCCCTTCAGAACTCCCAACCTGATGGGACTGTCTCTTGCCTGTTGCCTCACATTCGAACCAAGAGTCATTCTCCATTTCCTTCACAGCAATTACCTCAGGACATCAAGCCTAAAGCCTCCTCGGGGACTTAATTTGCTCTGGGGCTGGGGCAGGTCTTTCCCAGGCTCCCCAGCTGTCTGCATGAGGGTCCCCCAGGGCTGGAGGCTGCAGGGAAGCCGCTCTCAGCACATCAGTCTGCTCTGCACCGAAGGCCGCGCAGAGCCCTGGGGAGGGCTGCTCCTGGAGGGTGCCCAGAGAAGTTTCTCTAGGCCATGTGTGAATTACTTGCCCACAAACCCCCAAGGAAACCTCTGGCAGGAAGGAAAGAAATCATCTTTCTCTTTCCCACTTACAGAGCCACCAACTGCCACTCTTCAGATGACATTGAGATTCTAGGAAACCAAGAGCCTCTCCCGCTTTTCCAACATCATGAAATAATTATCCCCTAGATGAACATTCTCTACTGGCATCCGTGGCCTCCAGCAGCACACAGTAGCCAGGCAGGTGGGACAGCACAGCACTGTGGCTGGAGGCGGGGTGCTGGTTAAACTCTGGGTCCCAGCAGCTTGCCCGAGTGACTTCTTACCCGCTTCACTCAATCCCAGAGTGTTACACTCAAAATCCTGCTGGCACTCAGCGGTGGGCTGAATACTGTGCACTTTAAACAACAGTGATGTGCTTTCATATTATGACAAAGCAATAAAAGTGCTTGCATAGGGAATGCCGTGGGGAATTTACACGAGCAGCCGTGGCCAGGCAAGCCCTTCTGTGCCAATGGCCCATGTGGAGACGCCTACCTGAGCGTCACAGGGAACGAGGGCTGCTCTGAGTGTGGTCTCTGCCAAGACAGTGACGGGAGGGGACACTTACCTGGAACCTAGAACGTCCCACAGAAACCACACACAGTCTGGCTAATGTGCAGAGACAGACTAGCCAAGATGTCTGCTGAGCACTGCTTCTAACAGCTGGACACTGGGGGCCAGTAAACACTCCTCAATAAAGAGCCACTGAAATAGCACAGATGGGAGCTCTAGTGATCACCAAGCACGGTCGTGCTCAAGGCAGGAGGGACAGGCCTAGGACAGGCCTAGCACAGTGCTGGTGGGTCATAAAGCATTCAGATCTATGAATATATGTTCATGTAGCGACTGTCTAGACACACACGCTTTTCTGTGTTACGTGTTTCTTTTCCACAAGGGCAGAAACCAAGAATATCCTGTAACATAATTACTGTTAGATTATTGTTATCATTTTTTGTTTCCATATATATTTCATGTATTTTGCAGAATGTCTAAGCACATGGTAAGTCTGCAATCAGGCTCTTAAAAGTAGATGTTGTATTTCTGGATTCTAAGGCATAGCCCCCTTCTCCATATTTTAGTATGTTTGATTTGGGGGACCTATTGTACATCATTCTTCATCCCACAATGCAGTGGCTCAGTCAACAGTGTCTAACACCTGAGCAGATGTGTCATTCCCAACAAAGCACAGTAAAGAGCACTTACTGCCTTGGGCTGCGTCGGAGCTGGTGGGCTTGATGACCCTGTTGGCATCCTCATGAAGGGCTCCAAACCAGTCTTTCAGGCGGGAAGCCAGGTTCCTCAGCTCCTTGTCCGTGCAGGCTGCAGGGGAGCACAGGAGGGACAGTGAGCCCTGGGCGTCCTGCTTGTTACATGTCTGCCCTTGGCACTCCATTGCCATCGGCAAAGCCAAGCTCAGAGCCAACTTCCTTCGCCAACCACACTAGGACTCCTGCCCTATCCTGACAACACCCAAGGATGCCAGCCCCGCAGGAACAGACCGGACTGTGGGGCATCAGCACTGATCAGAGCTGCCTCCGTGCCGGTGGCGCAGCTGTGACATCTCACCGTTGCCCGGCAGCCCCCAGACACCTTCACGATCCCTGCGGTAACTGGATAAAACTTGCTATTGCTGTTTGCTAGAGAGACGACCACATTTTCCACTCAACTCATGCCAAGAGATTAATCCCCAGAAACAGCTAATGCGCTTAGGACACCAGAGGGCCCCAGGAAGAGCACACTCAACGCTGCTGTCGCCCAAGGTTGGGATTTGTGCATTTGGCTTGTTAGGCCGCCTTTTCAAGAGACTGACTTGACTTTCCCCTCCAGACAGATGATACCTTCCTGTTCCAAACCACCTCCAACTCTTCAGCTCGTCTTTGAGGGTCTAACAGGGCAACCGGGACAGAGAACGCTGAGAAGGAGAACAGAAGCCAGACGGGCTCACAGCCAGGTGGGTGCAGGCTACCTGAGGGTGTCAGTGTGTGGACGTACTGTTAGGGGGAGAGGATGTCCTGAGCAAACTCCGGACAGGCTTTGTGGACTCCACCCCCACTCCAGACCAAAGCCCTCCAGACACTGGAAATGACAAATCCCATCACCACCAAAGGGAGGGTGGCTGGGACGTGAGGGGGCGGTTAAGCAGCCAGGTTGGGTATAAAAGCAAACACGTGGGCCTTGGGTTGCTCTCTTGGCCTCCCAGTTCTTGGCTCTTGGCCAGCTCCCAGCATGCCATTGGGATTCCAGGTCGGCGGACCGGGTAAAGACGCATTCATGAGGTTATCTCCCTCTTTTTCTCCCTGAGTTACTCATTTCTTCATTTTCCCTTTCTTTTGCAAATAAACCTTTTATGAACCTTTTGTGTGTGCCTGCAGTGGAGCATTAATAAGTCCCTTTTAAGCGCGGGTGAGGACCCAGTCAGGCAACCCGTTTTCTGTCGGGGTTGCCCTGTAACAGAAGACCTGCGCGAAGAGACTCTGAAGGAAAGTCCAAAGGAGGGAAAACAAAGGACAGGCAGAAGAGGGGGCTGGCCTGCCCCAGCTCCCTGATTTCCCCCTAATTCCAGGTCCTGAGAACGCTGACAAAACTGCCAGACAGGGGCTGCCAAGAGGCAGACAAGCAGCAACACAGTGAGCTTTGCATCTGGAGGGACAAATTAAGAGACCGGAGATGCCCAACCCCATTAGAAGGGGCCAAGCGCTGAGCGCACAGCCGCACGGAGCACCGCGACAGCACAGGCCGCGTCCTCAGCGCCGCAGCGGGCCTGTGAGATGGAGATGAAGGCTGGCGCCTGCCATGGCGGGGCACCCAGCCAAAGCCAACATCCCAAGCACTCTATTTGACACCCTGAGGCCAGGGATGAATGAGTAGACAATCTCCCCCAACTCCAATCCAGCTTTAGTCCGTGCAGACTGACCGAGGTAAGGCCATCCGCTTCAGAGCAATTACTGCCGTCCGGATCTTCTCCTCCACCTCACAACCCATGTCTGCTTTTCAGGCAAGCCCAGTGAGACGCCTAGTCTGAGCTGGCTCTTGCGGTTTAGGGAGAACAGAGCCAAACTTTCCAGATGCCAGGCAGGAAAGGGCTTGCCCACCCTCCATTGTGTGTGGGGGGGGTGACCAGCCCCCAGCTGGATCTCTGCAATCGCAGCGCTCCCCTTTATAAGCGGGGCCCACACCCCAGCCAGCATGCAGATCCACACCGCACGGCACAGGTGACCTTGCGTCAGAGCTTACACCTATGTGGTCAGTGACCTCCGGACACGGCCTGCTTTCAATAATGAGGCCACCGCTCACTTTTCAAACACCAGCCCCAAAATAGCACTGAAAACTGGTGAGAGGCAGCAGAGTCCAACAGTTAAGCGGTCACGTTGCCCAGAATGAGTGAACCCCAGCTCCAACATTGACTGGCGGGGTGACTCAAGATAGTCAATAATACCACCCCATGCCTCAGTTTCCTTCTCTGTAAGCTCTCAGGCAGTCCTCATGTGCCTCCGCATGAGATAAAGTATATAAAGAGCTCAGCAAAGGACTTGGTACGTAGCGTGGTGAGTACCCCGTGCGTGCAGGCTCTGATTCTACTATTCTTCTTTTTAAACAGAAGATTCACAGGTCAGCATAGAGCATACATCACAGTCTTCAGAAACCCAGAAAGACAAAGACACCCGAAATAAAAACTGGCTTTGGTCACTTAACAGTGAGGACAGGTCCTTGTGCAGTCTGATACTGCTGCCATAGTTAGCTACTTCATTCAATGAAAATGAAAACTGAGCTCCTAGGGGCACCCCCATTCCAAGGGTTGTGGAGCCCCATGTGGCTGCGACTTCTGGTGGCCCAGCACGACGCGGCATGCTCCCTCCACGCAGACTATGGGGCTGGATGAAACCTCGCTGTCTTTTGGGGATGTCCAACATTTTGGAGGTTCACCATGCTATCCTGACGTACAAAGTAGCGTCTGCCCTCTTCCCCCCAATCTTTTAAGATGAGCCGAGACAGAAGCTCACAAGCCTGTTTGAGAGAGATGTGCAGGTGTGTGTGTCCTTACAAGATGCTAAATTTCCCACAGGCCTCCCAAACACCCAGCTCTGGATGGCTGATGCAATCAGACCGTGGAGTCTTCAAAGAGCGGGTCTGTCACTCGGGACCAGCCCGGAGTTGCCTCTCACACTGAGGCCTGCCCACAAATGTGGGGGAGGCGCTGCTGCTGAAGGCTCAGGCCCAAGGTCCGGCTTTCAGACCACGCTCACGTTTTCTGGCCAGGCTCAGAGCCTCCGGGGGATGTGGCCACTTTCCCTACGCTCCACCGCTCTGAACAGGAGAGGGTGTGGCCCTTTTTTTCTGAGAGGAATGGGATGCAGGCCCTATGGAGTATCTCACGTTTGAAAATGGAAAATTAATAGCATCTATTTGTTCTCCATTGCTACACACGGCAGTCTACTCAAAAGGTTCTCCGAGCAGAGAACATTGTCAAGTCAACTTGCAAAGGAAATGCATCCCCACCTCACCGTGCAGGGTACATGAGTCAGTCATGTTTAACTAAACCCTGACAGATGCACAGGTCATTCACATCCTCACAAGATACTGCATTTCCCACAGGCCTCCGAAAGTACCCAGGCCCTGGAGGGCTGGCGGGTGGACTCTTGCAAGAGCAGCTCTGTCACTCGGAACAAAGTCCACACGCAGGATGCCACTGGCATGGGGGCTGGGGGCGCTGAGAAGGCCAGGATGGAGAGGGGAGACATTGAATTGCTGCGCCCCGTTCCCTGAAGGTGTCCTCACCAAATGGCCTCAGGAGGAGAAAACCAGGCACAGTCTGCCTGGAGCTAGATACATCCCAGGGAAAAAAATAATCAAAGGCGACAGCCTGCAGGGAGCTATTTGTTCAGATTTGGTATTCTAGCCACAACAGACAGTCCGGTCACGGGAGGAAATGCTTGTATTTCAAGGTGCCTGTCATTGCCCCAGAAAAAGGTATGACGTGAGGATTAAGGCTTTCAGAAATGGGGGACCCGGCGGGTACATCTCACACAATTCCTTCTTGGGAAAAGGTGATTTCTGTGGGGAGAAAACCATGTGCTCCTGCATTCCTGCACGCTGCCTGAGGTGGGCCAGTCCTAGAGATTGCTAGAAAGTGGCATCTGATGGCCTCTCCTCCTGGTGAGGGAAGGTGGGCATCCACACCCCCGAAGCAGACGTTGGAGGAAGAGACTGAGCTCTATAGGGAGACACACCAGCAAGGGTCTGCTTTGACACCCCCTTAACTGCTGAGTGGCTGTCAGCCAGTCCTGGGTGGTCCCCCACTTTCCATTCTGTCCCCTTCTGCCTTCCACTCTGGCTTCAGCTTCATTTTAATTGCTCTCTCCCAGTCATCTCTGCGCAGCACTCTACTCTCCAGCACACCCCTATTTGCCTTGTTTCAACAGGCCGATTCACTTCTCTCTTACACGACCTCAGTCGGCTCCAACTTGGCTCATGTGTTGCTCTGAGATAAGGTGATCCCCAATCTCTGCCTCAGCCAGGAGTCAGAAAATGAGGCCACCGGCCCCCTCTCCTCAGAGCAAACACCTAGCGACTGTCCTGGATTCCAAAGGAAAGCCCCTGCTTCTCGCTCCCTGCAGACCCCTCACCTCCCACCCGAGACCTCTGCAGCAGGCTCCTCACCGGTCTCCTGTCTGGCTCCCCACGCGTCCTCTGTCCAGTGGCCACAGCGGTCTTTCTGAAGTGGACATTTGATCAACTCACTTTCCTGCTGGAGCCCCCTCAGAGGGCTGCAGGCGAGTCCAAACTCCATCATGTGAGCCGTGGGACCTGACTGCTGAGGCCTGCGCCACCGGGGGTTTCTCATCTCCTCCTCAGTTTCCGTGCTCGCCCTCACTGCCTCCCTCCTCACTGTTCTTGGAACACACCTTGTTGACCTGCTGACGCCACTGTCTCTATCACATCTCTGGCTTACACTTACTTCCTCTTCCCTAAGGCCGTGACTGGGTTTCCCTTCAGCTGGAGGCCTCTCAGATGACGCGCCTCACGCTGCAGGTTCTCATCAATGCCCATCCACCCACCCAGGTCACAGAGGACGCAACACGCCTGGTCTGGCATCTTACAGAGCCGGGCCCCAGCATGGAGAAGGTTCTGGACGCGCACTCCCTACTTGAGTCTAACTGCCCTCTCGCTACCTTATGTAAACTTCAATTTGCCCGTCTGCAGAATGACACAATGAAGCTGAGCTCATGGCATCCCGGTGTGGCATCAGAGGGAATGATGGCCGCCAAGCACCACGCATGGCCACAGGCACGTCGCAGGGCTTGATAAATGGATGTTCCCCTTCCCTCCTCTCAACTGTCTACATAATGTTAGTACTTTGGGGCTATTTTTCTAAGCCTGAGGAGATGAGCATCTCTCCTAAAGACGAGCATGTCTCCTTCACTCATCTGCTGGGCAGGTGAGCAGGAGCTCCTGAGAGGCAGGCTGTGCGCAGGCCTACCTTCTGCCAAGTGGAAGAGCTCCGTGAGGGGAAGGCCTGGCCTGGCCTCCTGGCACTCACCCTGAGAGTGGCTACATGGTAGCTCTTCATTACCATCGTACTGACAGAGCTGTCACGCCAGTCACAACTCCCAGAGTCAAGTCGCTGTCGTGCGCAGGGTCGGAATTTAGATCCACGACCCTCTTTCTGGGCCGGCCCAGGCTGCAGAGCAGCTTCCTGGGACACACTGGGCTTGTGGGGAGCCAGCACTGAGGACGGCAATGAGATACGTGCGTTGAAGAGGATCAAAACATCAGGCCCGGGGCCTCCCCGGTGGCGCAGCGGTTGAGCGATGGGTTGCGAAGCTGCCCGCAGCCTCTGCTGCACCGGTTCGATCCCCGGCTGCTCCCCGGCCACCGGAGGAGGGTCCCACATGGCGCGCAGACCTCTCCTGCCACCCGCTGCTCCCCTCAGCAGTGTACCTCGGTCCTTCT